GCCAAAGCAGGGAGCCTGATGTGGGGCTTGATCCCAGGACCCTGGGACAATGACCTGAGCTGAAGGCAGGCGCTTAACAACTGAGCCATCCAGGCACCCTAACCCATTTCTTCGGGTATAGAACAGGAAGGATTTTACGTGAATCAGAGGTTTAAATTAAAACTGAAGAAATTACAGAATTATAGAACATGGTGATTTTCTCTTTATCCTGAGTGAGGAAAATTTTATTCCTGATTATTTAAATTCTAGAATTGTTAAGAAAGAAAGTGATAAATTTGATAATGTTAAAATAACTTAATGGGCAAAGCAAACACCAAATCATAATTCAGGAAAGATACTTGTAATATAAGAATGCTGAAATCCCCTAATATAGACAGATCCTAATAATCGGGAAGAAAACTACCAATAAAATCTAAGGAAAACTCATTTAAATAGATATCACAGAAGAAATGGAAATTGCTATTAATCATATGGAAGTATCCTTGGATTTGTTTATACTAAGTATAATTACAATTAACAATACAAACAGGATATAATAAACGTCTCAACTATTAGATTTGCAGTAAGTCCTGACATTTGACAACATTCACTTTCAGCAGCTGAGGGGAGAGGAATCTGGCAACATCATATGATGGTGGTAGTGTAAAATGTAAAATTTCTATGGATAGGAATTAAGTGTTTAGTGAATTAATCTGTGGCAAATTCATAATACATATAGTAATATGTAACCTTATAATGATTGGTGAATACATGAAATTTATTATGGAATAATTTTTGAGATATAAGTATAAATAAGATAGTGTCAAGTTATAGGAAGTGATGATAGCAAAAAAAATTTTTTTTAAAGATTTAATTATTTGACAGAGACAGTGAGAGAGGGAACACAAGCAGGGGGAGTGGGAGAGGGAGAAGCAGGCCTGCTGAGCAGGGAGCTCGATGTGGGTCTCAATTCCAGGACCCTGGGATCATGACCTGAGCAGAAGGCAGACGCTTAACGACTGAGCCACCAGGTGCCCCTAAAATGATGTTTTTTTTTTTTTTACGTTTTATTGATTGAGAGAGAGTGCGTGCATGTGCACACATGAGCAAGGGGAGGGGCAGAGGGACTTTGCCAGACTCCAGGGTTGAGCCAGGAGCCTCCTCCATCCTGGGGCTCCAGGATCATGACCTGAGCTAAAGGCAGATATTTAACTGACTGAGCCACCCGGGTGCCCCAAAATGATGTTTTTATCATCACAAATATGTAAATGGTCTTTGTTTCTGTTGCCTGGGTGGTGTCTAAAAATAGTACAGGGCGTTCAACAGAATTTTGATAAATAGCTAATTCTCACATTCAATGTCCTAAGTAATAAATGGTGTTTTTATGGAATAAGTTAGAAATAAAAGGAAGGGATAAATTTTGATTTAGGTAGGAATTCAAGGGATTCGTGGTTTTCTTAGTATCCTAGAGAAAAGGATAGGTACTCCTTTAAAGAAGTTGTGTAAGTGTAAAGGCAGTATTTTTTTTTTGTAGTAGAAATAATGAACATTTCCAAAATCCTGAGCTCTTCTCTCCTTTCATTTTCTCTCAGACTGATTTAAGGTAGCTCTTGAAGGATTTGGTCAATATTGCAAACTCATAACAGAGATACCTGAGATTCTATGGGAAGATTTCATTTTATTATTTATTTTGATTTTTACTTAAATTTCAGTTTACATACAGTGTAATATTAGTTTCAGGTATACAATATAATGATTGAACACTTAAATACAACACCCAGTGCTCATCACGACTATACAAAGATTTTAAAGTAGAGAGGTTATTTGAGGTTAATCCTGTAGGTCAGGGTGATTTGATGCCCATTAGTGAAACATAAGTTCACTTAAGCCAATAATTTAAGACCTATTTAGTACTCATGTCTCTGTTGATGTGGAAGTGGAAGTGAGTGTGGATAAGAAACAGATGTGTGGACATACATTGATAATGCAAAATGAAAAGATTAATAGATAGACATAAGGATGAATGATTTGATGAATATAGGCCTCAAAGAATATGTAGGTAGGTGGATCCAGGAAGGGTTAATTCCTAAATCTAAGTTACTTGAAATTACAAAGATGTATTTCTTACAGAAACTATTCAACAGGAATTTGTTAGGGGTCCTGGGTTCATGGCGGTCACTAATAGGCCAAATATTAGAAAGACCATGATTATCACGTCACTACCATCACAACAGAAGATTTTACAGTTTATTCATGGGGAGAGAACATGGAAAATTGCACAATAACTTGAGAAATAATTTTTTAGAAGTTTTGTCTTGGGCAAAACAAATCAATCATATAAATATCTGTAAACTTAGAGGGTTTACAAAGTGTATTTCTTCCATACCCTCAAAGGGAGAGTAGAAAGAACATACTAAGCAATAGTAATGTTTACCATAGGATACCTCTCTGCCTTCAAATACTGAGTTTGCTTTCTACTTACACATTAAATTGTGTGCCCTTCTCAGTGAAAACAAACAAAAAAGACTCACCTAGCTAGAAATCCAGTATTTCTCAGTTGTGCACTGTTATCAGTACGTGATTTGCACTGATTTGTGTGTCAGGTCTCACTTTGCCTACTCTTGATACAGAGACATAGGAACTTCATTTTCTTAAGTATTTATTTTTATTTTTTTAAAGATTTTATTTATTTGTCAGAAAGAGTGAGAGACAGCACAAATAGGGGGAGCAGCAGAGGCAGAGGGAGAAGCAGGGCCCTGCTGATCAAGGAGCCTGATGCAGGACTCGATCCCAGGACCCCAGGATCATGACCTGAGCCAAAGGCAGATGCATAACTGACTGAGTCACCCAAGCATCCCAAGACATAGGAAATTTATTTATTATTTTTTATTATTATGTTAAATTAGCCAACATACAGTACATCATTCATTTTTGATGCAGTGTTCAGCGATTTATTAGTTGCATATAACTTCCAGTGCTCATCACATCATGTACTCTCCCTAATACCCATCACTCAGGTAGTCCCTCCCTTCTGTAACCCTGTTTGTTTCCCAGAGTCCAGAGTCTCTCATGCTTTGTCTCCCTCTCTGATTTCTTCCTATTCAGCTTTCCCTCCCTTCCCTTATGGTCCTCCACGCTATTCCTTATGTTCCACATATGAGTGAAACCATATGATAATTGTCTTTCTCTGATTTCACTGAGCATAATCCCCTCCAGTTCCATCCATGTCGATGCAAATGGTGGTATTCATCAGAAAGGAGACATAGGAACTTTACAAAAGAAGTTATTTGTAACTCACTTCCCAGTGTGTAATTATGGAGCAAGGACAAGGAAACCATAATAAAAGCTACAAAACATAAAGTGTACAATGAGAAATACATATACACTGGGAATATATTATCTATTGTGATACCTTTGGGGTGGAGAATGTTTTACTAGGACTTGGGAGATGCTTACTTGTCCTGTGTTCTTCCTAACCCTAACTCAGCCTTCTGATGTATTGTTCCATTCCTATTATCCTGCTTAATTAATTTTACAATATGCAGTGTAGGATATATCCTCCAAGGGAGCTACAGAACTTTTCTATTCATAGAGAGTGGGGGCCTAAAGTTCATTTTAAGTCTTAAATAATCACACATTTTTTAGTTCCTTGGGCAGTAAAACTCAGTCAAATTATGCCATGAGCAGAAGACCTGAGTAGCCCATATGTGATTCTCCTTAATCTCTTACCAGTGGTGATCATAGAACAATGTTTTGAGTCAGAGGTTCCAGAAAGAGAATAGCCTGGAATAACAAAGTGTCATATGTAGCAATGCTATTTTGGGTATCCGTTGAATCAGATCCACAGAAGTCTTTTCATGAGTGAGAAATAAATGTTTGTTTTGTTAAGCCAGTGATATTTTGAAGCTGCTGTGATTTCAAACTCACTAATATAAATGGAAAAATTACATGTAAGAATTCAAGGATTGGTGGACGGATGCACAGAATGGAGGGTTGGATTGATGGTTTAAAACTTGTTTATAGCGGTGGATAGATATAAGAAAGAATTTAAGGATGGTAGATGAAATTTCTGCATAATATGAGCTTACATGGGTTTAAAAATTAGTGGATGAAAGAATGCAGATGGGGTATTTTAAAAGTCAGCTGTAAAGGTGGATATAAGGAACTACTGCTTCATGTAATTGAGGGTACAACAGTGGATGAATTAATGCAGAATTGGGTGAGTGAAAGAATGGATGAAAACTAGAATATTAAGTGTATTGCTAGATGCAAGGATCAAGAATTAATGTTTTGAAAAAAACATTGGAGGTATGTATGGATTGGTGTAATGTTCAGTGAAGGTATAGTTCATTAGATACCTAGATGTTAGAATTTGAGTGGATTCCAGAATGGATTGTTGGATGCATGCGTCATCAACAGATAAATGGGTTTTTAGATTAATAGATGCAAATATGGCTGGCTAGAGTAGTGGTGAATGTAGGGATCAATGCATGCATAAATGGTTTGTGTGAGTGTGATAGCATCATTGATGGTTTCAAGGTGGCTTAATAGATATACTGATGCATAGATGGTTTAATTCAAGAAGGGATGGTACAGGAATTTTATTATTGGAAGAATAGACTAATAAAATAAAATCACATATGTAAAGTTGAATGAAAAAAAGGGACTGTTGAAGGATATAGGACAATTTGTTATTTATAAAATTAGAAAAAAAATTAATGATTGCTGTCTCAAAGTGTTCTGATAGTAAATTTAAAAAAAGGGCGTGGGACAAAACAGAACAACAACAACAAAAAGAAACCAAAAACCAAATATAGTGAGATTATGAGAGTAGTTTTCTATGATACTGTTTTATATTTTGTCTACGGCCATACCACCCTGAACGCGCCCGATCTCGTCTGATACTGTTTTATATTTTAATAATTCGGAGACTCTTAAGAGGTTGATCAAAGAGTCAACTTTACCTTCAGTATTTTATGTTGGTAATGGTATATATGACAATTTTCCCATATTTTCCACAGTTTTAACTGAGGTGTTACCAGCTTAAGAAGTGAGACATATTAAATGCTTCAATACCTGACATTTCTATATCAATCCAAATTCTTGTGCTTGTTTCTCATTTCTGTGGACTTCGTTCTTCAAAAGTACTGGTAAGAATCAGTAACACCGGTGTACTATTTGTTTATTTTTTGACCAGTTTGATGTGGAATCAATTTGTAATATTTTAAGATTCCAAGACATATATGAATTAAAAAACAACAGTATTATCAAATTGTGGAGTGATTGCCAATTAGATGGAATAGAATAGATTTTAAAAAGCTATTAAATTTTGATGCAGTGTTGATAGATTGTGTAGATTTTCATTTACTACTTTTATATACTCTTACCATAAAATGTGATGTTGTGCAGACTGTAATCTCTGTCAGCACACTCCAGAAATGTTAAATTTATTTAAATATTGAATGCTTTTTTAAAAAAGATTTTATTTGGGTGCCTGGGTGGCTCAGTCGTTAAGCGTCTGCCTTCAGCTCAGGTCATGATCCCAGGGTCCTGGGATCGAGTCCCATATCGGGCTCCCTGCTCGGCAGGAAGCCTGCTTCTCCCTCTTCCACTCCCCCTACTTGTGTTCCTGCTCTCGTGCTCTCTCTCTCTCTCTCTCTCTCTCTCTCTCTCTGTCAAATAAATAAATAAAATCTTTAAAAAAAAATAAAAAAATAAAATAAAAAAGATTTTATTTATTTGAGAGAGAGAGAGAGAGTGCATGAGAGGGGGTAGGGTCAGAGGAAGAAGCAGACTCCCGACTGAGCGGGGAACCTGATGCGGGACTCGATCCTGGGACTCCAGGATCATGACCTGAGCCGAAGGCAGTCGCCTTACCAACTGAGCCACCCAGGGGCCCCTAAATGTTAAATACCGTGAAGCACATGCATTAGTGATGGATGGATAAAGGGAGACAAAATCAGGCAGGTGGGGAAAAAAGTGAAAGGAGGATAAAAGGGCACTAGAAAGAAAAGCCACTAGGAAGTATAATTTGCTGCAAATAATATGGGTCTTAATGATAGCAGAACGTTGAATTTTTTTCCAGATGCCTGATTTAGGGTATTGCTAATATTATCAGTGGGTGGGTAAGTTGGATATACAGGAGTTGTGGAATATTCCAGTATTAATGTAATGAAGTAGATCCTTAACACCCTTTCATTTGATGAATGAAGATTTTTTTTTCAGATATTTTCAAGCTTCTCTCTCCCTTCTTTCCCTCTTTCCTCCCTTCCTCTCTCTCTCTTTCTTTCCTTCCTTCCTTTGTTCCTTCCTCCCTCCTACCCTCTCCCTTCCTCCCCCTCCCTCTTTCTTTCTTTTTCTTTTACAAGCATGTTTCATAAGCAAGGACCAAAGAGACTTTGTCTACAGGTAAGGACATTAAGGCGTATATTCTGATTTTTAAGAGATCTTTTTTTGTCTATATTGATGGTTTAGACTTTTATTTGAGTTATTTGACACTAAATTTCTTTTTCATCAAACCTCTTATAAGGCCTACATGATTATTTTGAGGTTATAGTTTAATCTAGAGTTTTAGTGTTGTCACTTGTTTGTAAGCAACACTTAATGGTATAGAAGTTTTCTTCTAGTTAGGGCTGTCAAAAGCTGCACAAGAAGCTTCTGGGAAAGCAGGGAGAATAGATATGTGGGTACTGTGATAATGGGTTTTGGTTTTTGGAAAGACTTCTATGAAACACTATGAAATTTACAGAGCACATTATTAGTATTTCCTTGTATCATTGGCATTTATTTTTTAACCTTAGACTGGTATATAAATTAACACTAAGAAGTTACACAAGAAATGGTTGTTCAAAGAACGCATGTATGGATGGTTAAATGACATGAAAATAATTTGGAATATAAGATTGGTACTCAAATCACAGTAAATGGTCTGAGGAAGTAAAATTATGGTTTTGTTTTCCTACTGTAAATATACCTGGTTTTTGTAGATTGGAGATACTTGGTGTCTGGATCATGAGAATTGTTTTTCATGGATACCAGTAGAATACTTGACTTGAAGATGATACCCGCTTGTCCCAATGCATGGCTTTGTGATAACTTGTTTATTTCCATTTGCATCTATCCCTTTGTGCTATTCCAGGTGGTGAACATGTGTACAAGAGGATCATCAATACCTTCTGCGGTGGTACCATGCACAGAATAATGACTCAATTGCTGTCATTTATTTCCCCTTTTTGAAGCTCATTGCATCTTTATATCTCAAAAGGCACAAGTTTTATATATGTATCACCAGGAATAGAAGTGGTCTGCTTTTTGGCAAGTAATTGCCCAGCGTGTTAAGTACTTCTTTGTTCTCTGAGTATATCTTATGCTTTCCTCTATTGTTATTTACCTCATTGATTTTTTTTCCTCTATGTTTTACTTTAGAAGTGGGAGTAAGATTTGTATGTGTTAAATGTAGTTAATGCAATCCCATGGACACCTTGGTCACACTAAAGCATTATAACCAGGCTTTCTCACAAGCCGAGTACCTCCCACATGCCAGTTGGATACCATTTGTAAAATACTTTGTTCCTCATTTGAATCATGAGCCCACAGTTTTCAGAGAGGTCCCAAACAAGATCCTCTTCAAACATTTGTGTTACCTGAAAATAGACCATTTGTAGTTTTCCTTTTTATGGAACCTAGTAGGTCTTCCTCTAGAACAGGATCTGAGCCTGACCATAGTTGACGATTTCCTTAGTGTTCAAATTTAAGACTCAGATGCTACCACAATTCTGGTTATGTAAGGAAGAGCCAGACTCTTGCACTGACATTTTCAGGCATGGTGATGCCATCCTGTAGAACACACGGTTTTATCATTTTATTGCTGTTACTGGAATTGGACCAAAAAACACAAGCAACAAAGGTATTTCACTTTCATTCACATTATCTTGATTTTCATTCATTTTCTGTTTAACCTAAATGGGCTTAGTATAGACGGCTGTGTTTATTGGAAGTTTTAATTGACCATTCTGGAACATAAACTGCACTCGCATCAGAGAACTATGAAGTGCATTGTCCAACCTGTCTCAGTAGACAAGTTTGACCCCTAGTACATTGAATCAGGGCCATAAGGAATGAATGGGTTATTAAACAATTTAGAGCAAAATGTGGTCATTCATTCTCCCATCTTTCATTCCTACTTCCTAAGTGTGTCAAGAGTTAATCAGTTGTGCTAGTGGTCTATAACATTTCTAAGCTTATATAAGTTATCTGGAATTTATTTTATATATATGACATCATTATGGTTTTACAACTGTATTTTTTCTTTATTATATTGTGGACATATTGCTAAACCAGTAAATGTAGCTTACCTACAAACTTTTCATTGGATGTAAAGTAGATATCATAATGGGTTTATCCATTTCTCTATCTTGGGAAATGCAGATTAAATGTTTATTTTTGTTGCTGCATAAAGTGTTTTAATGTATATAATTGTTTTATATATATACATTATAATATATATAATATTATATTAAAGCACTTGGGATTCTATTTCTGTAAGATAGATTTTTAGTTGTGGCATTGTTGGATCATCAGTTCTGCATACTTTTGATTTCAGTAGATACTGTGAAATTGCCAGCACACAGCTGTGGTGTAATGGCAGTGCATAATATTCATAAAAACCTGTACAGGGTATATATTATCAATCCTTTAAATTTTTAACCAATCTAATAGGTGAAAACCATATTTTTAACTTAAGTATAATTTAAACAGTAAATGGCCATGGATTAAAAAAAAAAGACCAAAATGGGTATATTATTAATTTAAGAAAGAAAAATAAAACAATAGTACACATTCCCTCCAATCACAAGGGTCATCCTGTTTGTTTAGAGGTAGAAACCATTGACCTTTTCTCTGTGCAGTGCTTCTTGGAGGTACATACACTTCTTTTTTTTTTTAAGATTTTATATATTTGTCAGAGAGAGGGAGAGAACACAAGCAGGGGGAGCAGCAAGCAGAAGGAGAGGGAGAAGCAGGCTCCCCATTGAGCAGGGAGCCCTATGCTGGGCTGGATCAATCCCAGGATCCTGACCAGAGTTGATGTTTTCCTAAGTGCTCAAGTTTAAGACTCAGACTCATGACCTGAGCAGAAGGCAGATGCTTAACCAACTGAGCCATCCAGGTGCCCCTGTACATAAAGTTCTTAAGCATACCTTATAACAGTGTGTTTTTTGTTTTTGTTTTTGTTTTATTTTTATGTTTGAAACAATTTTAAATTTAGAGTGGCAAGAAACATATAGAGACCCCCTCAGACACTCTTACCCAGACTTTTTCTCTACATTGTTTTTTCTTTTTTTCTTATTTTCCTGCTCTTCCTCCTTCATCCCTCCTTCCCTCTCTTTTTCTATCTCTTCTCTCTCTCTCTCCCCCACCTTATGTTGTTCTTACTTTATTAAATATTTGTGAATAAGGTAGAGATATTATGTCACTGTAACCCAAAATACCTTAGCATTCACTTCCTGAGAGCCTGCAAATCCTCTTATCTTAACTCTGGTACAGTTTTTTAAATCAGGAAATTTATTAACAGTACTAACATATTATATTAATATACAGTCTATTATTAGATTTCACCAGTTCTAATACTGTTCTTTATGGCCATTTCTTTCATCCTTCAGGACCTGGAAAAAGATTCTGTATTGTATTCAAGTGTCATGTTTCTCTAGTCTCATTTAATCTGGAGCAGTTTCTCATTCATTTTTGTCTTCTGATGACATCAGTAATTCTTGAAAAAGTATTGGCTAATAGTTTTTGAAGGATCTCTCAAATTTGAATTTTTTTCAGCTTCCTCCTGAATAGGTTTAGGATATGCAAATTTGGCAAGAATATTTCATAACTTATGTCTGTCTACCTCAGTGATTCACAACAGGTGGAAAATATCATTTTATCCTATTATTAATGGCATTAATTTTGATCACTTGGTTCAGTTGATATCCACTAGATTTATCCACTTTAAAGTTAACATTCTTTTTTAATTAGTAAATATTCTGTAGGGAAATCATTTGAAACTATGTAAATTTCCTATTTCTCATCAAACTTTTATGCTAGTAGTTTTAGCAATTACAGATGATTCTTAGGGAGAATCATTGGTGATTTTTCAAAATCTGTTACTGGTGTTAGTTACTACATATTAGTTGGTATTCTCGTAGGAGGAATTTGTGCATAATGGCTTGTGGGAAATGTTCAACAAAGTGTTTACTGAAAATAGCGAAAAAATGAGATGGTGGACAAAGCAGGGAAGAGTTAAAGGGTTTAATGAAGTTTATGTCTAACTATGGAGTGAAATGGAGGTGGCGGGTAGAACTTTTTTAGAGCTGGTTGATTAAAGGCATTCACATGGCAGAAGAGCATGTTGTTTTTGTTGTTGTTGTTTTTTAAAGATTTTATTTATTTATTTGACACACACAGAGAGAGAGAGTGCATGAGCAGGGAGAGTGGCAGGCAGAGGGAGAAGGAGAAGCAGACTCTCTTCAGAGCAGGGGGACCCTGATGTGGGACTTGATCCCAGGACCCCAGAATCATGGCCTGAGCCGAAGGCAGTCGCTTAACCACCCAGGCACTTGAGAAGAGCATGTTTTTAGCAATAAGTTCCAGCAAGGGAATATGATGGTGCCATCATTATTGGCAAGGTGTTCAACAGTGGTTTTTAAATTTTTTTTGAACTGTGAGGCATGGCAGTGGTGTCCAGGTTCAGATGCACCTAATATTCTATGTAGATGGTAAATCAACAATGTTCCTCTTTTTCTTCTTCATTGCTTTAAGTTTCCATAACCCTATACAGAGTTTGAGACTGATGGTGAAGGAACTTTATTTGAGGTGCTATCTAAAGATGAACACTCAGCTTTCTGAGTATTTTTTTAAAATTTTTATTTATTCATGAAAGACACAGAGAGAGAGAGAGAGGAAGAGGGAGAAGCAGGCTCCCCAAGGTTCCGGGAGTCCGATACAGGACTCGATCTCAGGACCCTGGGCTCATGACCTGAGCTGAAGGCAGACACTTAACGATCTGAGCCACCCAGGTGCCCTGCTTTCTGAGCTTTTATTCATGTTTTAACTTTCACTGTTTCTCCAGCTCTCTGTGGTGCTGTCTGTGCCGATGATACAGATTGTGGCAGTGGTTATGTTGGCAAAAACCTATATACCCATAAATTCTGTTCTATGTTCTCTGTAACCAGGGAATTTTAAGAAATCTACTCACAATCACAAATTTCATGCTATTTAAGGAAGGTTTCCAGAATGAAGAGGTTTTAAGCGTCCAAAAATGACTTGGTTGAATCGATGAAATGTTTTTAGTCATCTGAATATGATTTTCAAAGTCTAGCTCAGTGTTGCTGAAGTGCAGGCCACCTGATGTGAATAGAAATGTCATACTAATTTATAAATTGTAAACTAAGGCAGTATATTTACAGAGGCATGGATATGGTCCAAGGCTTTGGATCAAAATGGTAATCTGAATACTCCCTGCTTCCCATATCTAACTTTGTACTGTCTTTAGTGACAAGCTTGTTAGCAGAGGCTCAGCAAACGTTATCATTAAATGCATAGAGGAGAAAACAGAAGTAAGGCAAAAATTACTGATTGTAAACAAATGAAGTATCAACTAAATGAATATGCAAATAGGTAAATAAATAACCAGTGATGAAAGCTGTCATGTAAAGAAGGCAAAACAGTTTAAGAAGGCAGCCAGAGTCCAAGAGAAGTCTGTTATTGTATTAATATAAATATTGTTACTTTCATATATAACATAATAAGGGTATCTTGGAAAATTTGAAATCTGCCTGGCTACAACACATCCTCCTCTCTTTTATGAGGCCGAATGTATGAGATTATTGTTTTGGTGTTGATGTGATTAAGACCAGTTTTACTACCAGATTCATAAATTGAGCCTCAAACCCTTATAGTTTTCGATGATGTAAAGGGAGTTTTAAAAAAATAAATAGATCACAACTGGAGACCATGTTACTATTTAATTATTCTCTGAGATGATAATAGAAACTGTGCTGCCAAAAATTTTTTGATACAGGAAGAGTAGAGTAGTAGTAGAGTAGTCCCGAAGAAAATAGCCTCTCAAATTTCAAATCTGAATGGAATCAGTATGGCCTTACTTAATGGCCTTACTCTGGAGAAGGCAAGGGGGCAGTATAGCTGGGTCTTTTCATCAAGCAAGGCACTTTCAAGGTAGCAGCTCTTGAATTTGAAATAAGAATGCAAATGAGAATAAACACAAGGCTGACCTCACAACACTGAAGACCCCTTAAAGAGAGGTCTGGTAATTACTG